GTAACCTCTATAGAGTGGCTGGCCTTTTATTTTTTTCATATTTTTAGAAATTATGTATATAATTATTATATTTATTCCTGTGCTAAATTTTTTTTAACTATACAACTGATTATTATGTACACTCCAACACTAATGTGAACACTTCTTTATTCCCACCCCCATTAACCATTAACACCCTGAAGTATAACTAATGTGTTCTTTTTTTTTTTTTTTAAAGATTTTATTTATTTATTTGAGAGAGAGAGCACGAGCAGGGGGAAGAGACAGAGGGAGAGGGAGAAACAGACTCCCTGGTGAGCAGGGAGCCAGATGCAGGACTTGATCCCAAGACCCTGAGATCATGACCTGAGCCGAAGGCAGACGCTTAACCGACTGAGCCACCCAGGCGTCCCCTAATGTGTTCTTTTTAGAGCAAATATTCCAGAATAACACCATGGCTCATTTTCTAGTGCTGCCACAGATAAAGTCTGTAAACTTTAAGCCTAACTTGTTCAATTTTGGTTTTAGTGCTACTAAATCTCCACCTGGTTAGCTGCTGACAAAAAGAGGAAAACTTTTGAAAAAAAGGTTTTGTTTTGTTTTGCTATGAGTATAGTTTATTTATTTATTTTTTATTTATTTATTTTTTAAAGATTTTATTTATTTATTTGACAGAGAGAGAGACACAGCGAGAGAGGGAACACAAGCAGGGGGCGTGGGAGAGGGAGAGGCAGGCTTCCCGCGGAGCAGGGAGCCCGATGCGGGGCTCGATCCCAGGACCCTGGGATCATGACCTGAGCCGAAGGCAGACGCTTAACGACTGAGCCACCCAGGCGCCCCGAGTATAGTTTATTTTTAAGAAACTAATATAAATTGCAAAAACTTACAGCACACAAATGTCTTATAAACTTTTAAATTATCTTCAAATTTCACTTTTTCTGAGTCAAACCACTAAGAATAAACAAAGGCTCAGCTCATTTTATACACTACTGGAGGAAAAAAGGAATTAAAAACATGGTCCATGTCCTCAAGTAGCTTAAAATCTTCCTACTAAAGCATTAAAAAAAAGTTCTTCTCTGCACTAAATCTAAGGACAGAATGATTTCAGAAATAGGGGCCATCCGTGTTGTAAGTGCTAGAGTAACTAGAAATGGCCTCAGCCAGGCAGTGGGACTTGAACTCAACTTTGGAAATGAGACAGTTGAGAGGAGAGGGAAGTAGCAAGGTCATTTCAGCAATATACTGGCTCTTGAACAGGCACTGAAGCAAGAATGTGCTTGGCATTGTAGGGAAGTGCCCAGATAGATGTCCCTGTCTAAAATGAGAGTACGTGTTAGGAAATCAATTTTATACAAGTAGGGTGGAGTTGGATTGTGGAGGGCTCTCATTTCTCTGAAATGAGAAACTTTTTCTCACAAGGAGAAACTTGACTTTCATACTCTAGGCAATGTAGATTTTTAAAAAGATTTATTTATTTATTTATTTGAGCAGGGGAGGGGCAGAGGCAGAGAGAGTCTTTTAAGCAGACTCTGCACTGAGCGCACAGTCCGTCGCCCGCTCATCTCACCCGAGAGACCCTGAGGTCACGACTCTCAACCGGAGCTCAAAGCAAAAGTTGGGCGCTTAACGGACTGCGACACCCAGCCAGGTGCCCCGGCGATGTAGATTCTTGAGAGGATGAGTAGTGACATGATGAAAATAATTATTAGCAATATTACTCTGAGAGTCACATATGAGATAGACTGAGTAGGGTGAACTGTACTGGGGCAATGGCAGTGGAGAAGAAGAAAGGCGAAAGTAGAGAAAATGATTAAAATAGAAGGATTTAGTAACGGTGCTGATATAGGGGATGCACTATGGGAAAGAGTCAAAAGTAGCTCTCATTTTCTCTAGCCTACAAGCCTAGAAGAACTGATTAAAATGCTCTAGGCAACACAGTTAATTGATTGATGGAAGCTAATGAGAACCATATTTCTCCACTCTTTATGTACCTCCTGGATATAATCTCTTCCCTTCAAATTCAGGAACATTAAGATGTTTTCCCCAACCATTTCTTCTGTCATTTTTTTTCTCCATTATATTTGTAAAGACCCAACCCACAATTCCCCTTGATTTCAGTGCTATTTATCTTTTATTTTTAAATCCGCTAAGCTTTCCTCTAACTTAATCTTTATATCTTCTTTTTTTCTTATTTCTCAGTATTATTTCAACTCCATTAAATCTCATGCTCCCAATTATCTGAATACTTGAAGTCTTTAGGGAGTTATCTTTGTACCAGCCCAACATAGCAACATGTAGAGTAGAAGGCAATCATCAGGTACCATGAAGATCTATAATTAAATTAATGATGATGGTAATAGTCAAAGATATCCCCACATCTTCAGTCTTGTTTTTGCTGAGATTTTCCTCTTTTTCTACCTCCTTCTCTTAGGGAAACTACATGAGTTGACATGTTTCAGAATGATCTTATAAACCTTGTAAAAGTATTATATGCTATGTGACAAGCAATGCCCTTTTCTTAATAATGGCTAAAACACAAAATCTTCCAAAGTTCAGTCATTGAAAATACTGGAAGGAAAATCTCTACAAGGAGAAGCCAAGTAAATGACCTTAATTCTTTCACCTCCATTTTCATCTCCCTTTGGGAAGATTTGTGCTGTCCTACTTTGAATTATGCTGGGTACAAAACTCTGGCCAAATGTGAACAACATATTCTTCCTTGCGTCTCCTTAGGACAGAAGAAATAGGTGGTCATTTTGAAAACTTCACCAAATAGTAAGATAGAGTAAAAAATTACAGAACATAGCAAATTAAAAACAAAAAACCACAAAAGATGTAAGTTTTGATTATGAAATAATTATAACTATACAGCAACCTTAAAGGATTAGATCCACTTTGCAAGCATGGTTTCCTTCCCTTTCATCTTCTTGCCTCTATATGACAGGGCATCTCATTTACCATCACAAAAGAGCTATTTTCCTGACATACTGACTCATCCTTGGACCAAAGTTTAGGAGCCTGGTTTAAATGTCTCAGACTAACTGAGGTCTTCTCATGCAGTTCAGGTTTCTAACCTGAGCTGTATACCTTATTTATCCATAGTAGATTACTGGAATTATTATAATTCACACAATGAGTTACCCAAACCTTTCTGGCTGAGGTTAACAGATTGTGCTAACTTCTTGAGCATCTGTGAGGAAGTGATCTAAAAGGTTACCACCATCATCATCAATATCCTCATCATTTCAAAATGACCCTAATCGTATCACTATAACACATACACAGGAACAACAGAATAGTAATCTCAGAGAAACACATAAGATATGAAGAAGGAAAAAATATGAGCAATCCTGGAGGAAAAAATTATGACCTCCTACACTCTGTTAGAAAAGAGTTTAGTCATTTTTTTCCTAAAAAAAAAAAAAAGGACAATTAAATTAAAAGAGAGAATTAAAACTAAAATGAAGGTGAGCTAGAATTTGGAAAGGTGAAGTAATGTTTCATCAATTCGCCTAACCAGATATATTAAATTTTTTTTCAATACTTGTTAATAAAAACCAAAAGGAAAAAACAATCTCTCATTTTAAACAAAGAAAATCATATTGGTATGCTTCCATGTTTTTCTTTCAAGTGTCAGGATTTTAGAGTCAAGGGGCGCCTGGGTGGCTCAGTCGTTAAGCATCTGCCTTCGGCTCAGGTCATGATCCTAGGGTCCTGGGATCGAGCCCCATATCGGGCTCCCCACTCCACGGGAAGCCTGCTTCTCCCTCTCCCATTCCCCCTGCTTGTGTTCCCTCTCTTGATGTGTCTCTCTCTGTCAAATAAATAAATAAAAATCTTAAAAAAAAAAAAAGATTTTAGAGTCAAAACATTGCCTATCAATTGTTGGCTCATCAGCAGGGCTTATTGATTTTAAATTAAATTCAATAAATACTCAGCACTATGCTAGACGGTAGGTGAATAATAGTAAGAAGAAAGCATTTCACATGCCTTCAGGAGTTCATAGGCCAGTGGGAAAGACAGAACAATTATTAGAACCATTACCTAGGAATACATTTTTTAAGGTTTGAGAATGAGTAATTATTTGCATACTTATTATTTATCGAAACTGTTTTTAGAAATGAGTTTATTCCTTAAAAATTCTTCCCTCTATACTTTGTTATGTTGCTCTGGTGAGTTGAACTTTACAGAGTCTTCACTTCATTTAGCATTATTAGTGAGTACATTTAATGGAGAGAAAAAAGCATTAGGTGAATGTTAATGATCTCAGTGTATAAAAAAAGATTGCATCATAATTAGCTGGATTTTCTTTCTTCTTTTGAAGTGCAATGATTCAAGGAGAATTTTTCTTAATATTTCAAATCAGTCATATTTGAATTCCAAAATTAAAATGCCAGCCAGCTGCAAATCTACAAGCAACAGTTGCATTATGAAGCCTTTATTATTAGAGACATATTAGATACCCAAATTTCAAGTCATAACATTTCAGTAAAATACATAATGTGTAGTTTCCTTTAATAAAATATTTTGTATAGAAATAGCAAAATATTTTTATACAAAGTAGAGGGTCTGTCATCACTTCTATTTGCAAAGGATGAAAACTGTCAATAAGTCCTGTTTGCAAGAGCATCTTGGGTTCTAATAGTCAGGGAAGTAATAAAGAGGTCAAAAGAGCAGTTATGAAATAAATGAATATGTTTTCCCAGATGCCACTTGAGGGAGAACACTTTGGAAAATCCAAAGGAAATAAGAAACTTAAATTGAGATTGTCAAGGCTGAGAAAGCCACTGGTGGAGGCATAAATATAATCATCAAACACAGCTATTTATTATAAAATCATGTTAGGGGAGTGCCTCGGGGGTGCATTTGATTTTGGCTCAGGTCGTGATCTCAGGGTTGTGAGATCAAGCCCCAGGTCAGGCTCTGTGCTCAGCACTCAGTCTGATTAAGACTTTCTCTTCCTTTCCCCCTACTCCTCCTCCACTCCCCTGCCCCCCCCCCATTCCTTTAAGTTCTCTCTCTCTCTCTAAAATAAATAAATCTTTAAAAAAAGATAAAATCATGTTGGCTTCAAACTCATTCTGAAAGGAGAGATGGGATTCTGTGGGCTCCTGTTTCAGGGAGTGGAATTGAGGTTTTTTGTTTTTGTTTTTGTTTTGTTTTGTTTTTAACCCAGAGATCCATTGCTTAACTTGTTTCTCTTCTCAAAGGGCAATTCTGAGAGCTGTGATACTTTTTCCCACCCAGGCCACTCCTTTTAACCACCTAGTTCCATTTTCCAAATATACAGCACTGAATCCACCATAAAACTATTTTATCCTTCATTAAGTGCTGTTTGCAGCTCAGTACTGAATAGAAATATAATGTCCCTGACTTCAAGGAACTTATAATCTACTTAAGGAGGCAAGAGATATATGCATAAAAGACACAGTATAGGGCAAGCCAGGCAGTATTCATAGAAACTGACATTGTCAAAGAGATGGTCTTTAATTGGACTTTAGGGATGGTAGAATGGACATTCTTGGCTCCGCAACTAATATTCATTACCTACTTTCCCATTACTAACAGCATCTAGACTTTAACTTGGATAATATCCTCTACTCTAAGCTCAAGTACTTTGAAGGAAGCTTATCCCACATCCACATCAAGCTTCAGGAGGAGTTGTGGTTGGTTTAATCCAGTCATTAGCACACTCCATTTCCCCTGGTCACATCACTGTTCAGTTGGGGCTATGGGTAGGGGATGGGGGAGAGGAGGATATGACCCAATCAAGGTGAGTTTCAGGAATCTTGTTTAGAATGCTGGAAAGTATCTCTCTCTTCCTCCAACAACAAGGTGAAGCCTGGGACCATTACAGCCATCTTTCCAGATGTCAGTCAGCTTAAGGGCCAAGGAAATATATGGAGGAGGGCACTGGCAAGAGAACTGCAAAGAAACAGAGGTAGAGCCACTGGATCAAGCCAATCTGAAACCTGTTTTACCACTAGACCAATATATTTCCTTATTATTTAACCTAGTCTAAGTTGGTCTTTTGTATCATGTAGCTGAAAGCCTTCTGATTCAGATGGCTACATTTCAGATAAGTAAAGAGGCTGGGGTGTTCTGGGCATAAGTGATACTGAAGAGATGGAAATAAGTCAGAAACCCCTTGAAGATAGAGAATAGACTAATATGTTTGGGGTGGAGGGTCTATAGAATATAATTGTCAGGGCAAGTGTAAGGAAACATTGAAAACTCAGGGTATGGATTTTGGACTTGTTTTGTAGGCAGGGTCAATTAATGAGTTTTGATTGGGAAATGTCAGAATAACATTTATCGAGCACTTACAATGTGCCAGGCTTTATACATGTATTACCCCATTTAATTATTGAAATCTTTAATGAGGTGCTCTCTCTTTTCCTGTTTGACAGATGAGGTACATGCTTAGTAACATGATTGGCAATTGGCAGAGCTGAGATTAGAATACTTGCATTCTGACGTTAGGGCTGATATCCTTAACTATTGCTTTAGTGTGCCTCCTTCATGTAATAATAAAAGTGATGCTTTTTAAATAATTTATTTATTTATTTGACAGAGAAAGAGAGAGCACAAGCAGGGGGAGTGGCAGAGGCAGAGGGAGAAGCAGGTCCCCCGCTGAGCAGGGAACCCGATGCAGGACACAATCCCAGGACCTTGAGATCATGACTTGAGCCAAAGGCAGCCACTTAACCAACCAACCAACCAGCCACCCAGGCACCCAAAAGTGATGCTTTTAAAAGGTTAATCTTCGAGTGGTGTGTGGAATGATTTGGAGGGAAGAATAGAAAGGAGTGAAGCAAGGAAAAGTAGTTCTGGCACAAAGTTTTAGAACTGAAGAGAACACAGTGATTATCTTGTCCAGTTCTATTCATTTTATAGAGGAATTTAGGGTTCAGAGATTGTGACACCTGAGATGACATAACTAACTAGTGGTACACTGACTCAAAGTCCAGTGGTTTTTCTTCCACAACATACTTAGGATACTGTAATTATTTGAGTGGGATGTGATAATAACCTAAGTTAGAGTGGTGGTAGTGAGAAGAATTTATCTTTGAGATATTATAAAGAAATAATAGTATGTAGGGGCTGATTAGATGTAAGCAAAACATAAGGAATAATTACAGATATTTTTGACATTTCTGCTCCAGAAGATCTGGGGGGAAATGATGACTCCAGTGATAGAAAAGTGGAAGTCAGAAAAGGAACTTTATTTTTTTTGTTGAGGAAGGGAGTCGTGGATAAATTCTGTTTTAGGCATATTAAGTTTGAGGCGGTAGTGGAACCCTCAAGTATAAGTGCTGTACAGACAGTTGAGTATGAAGGACTGAAGTTGGAGATACAATTTTATTTATTTTTATTTATTTTTTTAAGATTTTATTTGACACAGAGAGTGAGAGCGAGCACACGCAAAAGTTAGGCAGAGAGGCAGGCAGAGGGGGAGGGAGAAGCAGGTGCCCAGCTGAGCAGAGAGCCTGATGGGGGTGCTCCTGGGATCATGACCTGAGCGGAAGGCAGACGCTTAACCAACTGAGCCACCCATGCGCCCCAGAGATACAATTTTAGATACTAGTTTCATTGAGGTAGTCATTGAAACCACAGTTTTCTCATTAAACATAAAGTAAGAGTAAAACAGGGATGCTTTCTTTCTTTATTGGTAAGTTGTCTGTTGCTATGGGGAAAAGCCCTAGAACAGACTCCATCTTTAAACCGTTGTACTCAGTTCTTCCTTCTTGTCTAAACTACTCATGGCAGGCGTTCCTGGGTGGCTCAGTCAGTTAAGCATCTGATTCTTGGTTTTGGATCAGGTCATGATCTCAAGGTTCCACACTCAGCACAGAGTCTGCTTGAGATTCTTCCTCTCCCTCTCTCTTTGCCCCCTCCCCCTGCTCATGCTCTCACTTGCTCTCTCTCAGATAAATAAATCTTTAAACTACTCATGGCAATTGCATGAAGCTTTACAATGAAGCCTTATTTATCCATTGCTTACATATGGGGAATGTGTCTGTTACCATTCTCATGCACTTACTTACAAATGAGCTCATTTTCTCAAGGGTGTTATAATCTTGAGACATCTTCTGGGATTTCCAAACACTGGTGGTGTCTCTCAAAGGAAAATGATGTTGTTGAGCCTGCCAAGATTTCCTCACCTTCAACGTGGTTTTCAAATGTTACCATTTCTTAATTCCTTGACTGTTGGGTAAAAAAAAATATTAAAAAATCTTATAAAATGATATATTTTATTTAAAAGAAATAAAAAAATAAAGACATTGGGATGCTTTTTATGTTGATTCCCTGCAATACAGATGCTGAACTGATCCTTTATCATGCTGTGGAATAGAAATTTCTTCTAAGGTGAAAATGTTCTATACTGGTACTCTGCAATATGTAGCCACTGGCCACATATATAGCTATTGAGTGCTTGAAATGTGACTAGTGTAACTGAAGAACTGAATTTCTAATGTTATTTAATTTTAATTAATATAATAATAAATTGATTTAAATCTAAATAGCCACATGTGGCTAGTGTGGCTATGGCTAGTGGCTACCATGTTGGACAACATAGTTCTAGATCCATCTGAGACTGTTACAGGGTTAAATAGAACAATAGCCAAAGATGGCTATAGCCAAACAAGTGTGTTTTTATGGTCTTTTCTTATTTTGCGGATGTAGTTCAATACTGATTTAATGAGATTTTCTATCTTTAAATCAAATTGAGACTACTGGATTCTTGTGTGGACTCCTCTCTCTCCCTCACCTGTCACAACTGATTGGTCATCAAGTCCTATTCATCCTACATCTTAGAAATATTCTAAAGACACCCCCTCCTTTCCATCTCCATTACCGTGGTTCAGGTTCTATGTGACCTCCATTATTTCAATAGCTTCCTCATTTTTCTCTTTAGCACCACTCTTGCTTCTGTTCATTTCACTTCCTACCTGTTCATAGAGTAACCTTTCCTAAAAACAATCTTACCATATCACTTTCCTACTTTATTTATTTTATTTTATTTTTTTAAAGATTTTATTTATTTATTTGACAGAGAAAGACACAGCGAGAGAGGGAACACAAACAGGGAGTGGGAGAGGGAGAAGCAGACTCCCTGCCGAGCAGGGAGCCCGATGCGGGACTCGATCCAGGGACTCCAGGATCATGACCTGAGCCGAAGGCAGTCACTTAACCAACTGAGCCACCCAGGCGCCCACTTTCCTACTTTAGAATACACTTCACACTTAAAATGTGGTCCATGGATCAGTGGTATGCGAGGCATCACTTGGAGCTCACTAGATATGTAGACTTTCAGGCTCTACCCAAAACCAAGTGAATCTGAATCTGCATTTTAATGAAATCTACAAAGGTGATTTTTATGCACATTCAAGTTTGGGAAGCACTATTGCAGGATGAAGTCCAACTCCTTACCATATCTTAGAGGTTGTTTCCAGCCTCATTTGCAGCAACCGCCCCTTCCCAACCTCTTAAAACCCACACAAAGTCATACAAAATAATTTGTTTTTCTGCCTAAATAACCTTTCTTTCAAAACCCATTTGAAAATTTTCTATGGTTTTGGGGTACCTGGGTGGCTCAGTCCGTTAAGCAGCTGCCTTCAGCTCAGGTCATGATTCCAGGGTCTTGGGATCGAGTTCCTCATCAGGCTCCCTGCTCAGTGGGAAGCTTGCTTCTCCCTCTCCCTCTGCCCCTCTCTCCACTCATGCTTTCTCTCTCTCTCAAATAAATAAATAAATAAATAAATAAATAAATAAATAAATAAATAAAATCTTTAAAAAAAACAAAAAAAATCTGAAAATTTTCTATGGTTTCTCATAAAAGGTAAGTATATCCTCTCTTTGTACTCCCACAGAATTATATAGATACCTCTCTTATAGCGTGTACCACAATGGATTATAAATATTTGTGCCTCATGCTAGACTTATGAAGTTTTTGAGGGAGACATTATTTCTTGAGAAATACAGCTATGTTCTTCTCAGTAGTTCCTGGTACATGCTTGCTGTTTGAGTGATACGTTTTGGAAGTGTTAGATAATGGTAGTATTTTATAGAATCATTACATTTGAAAGGTAGAAAGAATCTCACTGATCACCTGGTAGAAGAATTTTATTTTATAAGAGAAAAACCAAAGCTCCCAAAGTTGAATAACTTCTCCAAAATTATTGGCATGGTGACATTTTCTCTATATATGAGGCGCCCTATAAAATACCCAGCCAATAAATATGATAAATCTATTACTCTCTCTGGTATTTGGATGAACTAAATTATCACTAAGGTAAAGACTCTAATAGACTTGAATTAGTCTTGATCTCTTCTGCTAATCTTTTCTTCACCTTTCCCTTGTGGGAAATGACAGGACTCTGTTCTATCTCCCTTTCAGTTTAGTGTTATATGATGCTAATCAGAAAGATAGTGAAGTAATTAGGGAGGCAGTACCATCAGTACAAAGCTGATAGTAAGCTTTGCCTCTCCTTCCATCAGATCTAGGAGGCAGTTTCTTGAATTTCAGTGTCTGGCAGAGTAAAGGACATGGACGAAAGCATTTGGATCAGGCACCATCTAGATAAGGCTACAGTGATCCTCACAGGCAGAGGCAGACATCTGAAATATACAGCAGCCAGTTCATGTTGCAGAAGATCAACCCATTCCGTGTCTCCGAAAGCCACAATTTTGTTGGAAATCTTAGATTGCAGGCTATTCCTAAGTCATTAGATTTTGGCCAACACTTCCACAATCACTTCCTACATGTTTTCAAATAAACAACTATTATCTTTGCTTCCATTTGGGAAGATTGTTATTTCTTTATCTTCTTGCACTGTATTTTAGCCTATGTGGATGACATCTATAACCATTATTATGCTTATCTTACAAATCCTAGGCTGTTTGATCCATTTTTGCCATGAATCTGCATTAGAAGATGGGCTCAGTATTCTTGGTATTCCTATTTCTGGATTCCAGAAGGAGTCAAAATCTTGTCCTAGGGGAGAGTATAATCTAATCAGAGGGGTTTTACTCTTTTCTAATGGAGAATTCGTTAACTCTATTTCAATCAAATTTATTAAATGTCTAGAATGTAGTATGGTAAATACATGATGGTTATGACACAGACCTTTATCTTGGAACACACTGTTTGAATTGAAATAGATTTTCTATACCCATTACATATTGTCCATCTGAGCCCAGTTCATATTGCACCAAGTGTGGCACAACCACAAAATCTGATGGGCAAACTGGGGTACTTTTGAGAGTGAAAGGAGTTGTAATTAGTAATTACCCCTGATCCACAGATTACACAAGGGCTGTCCTGGGCAAGCTGGGATAGTGTCAGGCAAACTGGAACATACGGTCACCTTAACTACACATTAGTTTCTGTTATAATTGTTTTTTTTTTTTTTTTTTTGCCATTTTAAGTGTGACAGTTTGGGTTAAATATAACTATCTTATGATGTCTGTTATACGTTAAATATTGCAGTAAAAGTTTACTCGTATTTTAGTCAGGGAAACAATATATGCATATAACCATATTAAGCAATTGTGTGTAGTGGCATTAATTTTGGACAGGGAGCTGGGAGACCTCGATTTGAAAATTTGCCTTGGAATTCAAGCTCTTCCTCCAGTCAAATCAATTAACCTCTCAGGGTGTTTTCTAACCTGTGAAATGGAGTGATACTAATTCTTCATGGGATGGTGTGAGAAGGTGGTAAAAAATGTGAAAGCAGCTAACCTGGTATGTATCAAATAATAAATGCTTGAGAAAAGGTTATCTGAGTTTGTTGATTCTCCAGTTTAATGAAAGTCAGCCAGAATGGAAGCTAGAGACTCTTATTCTTTTGCTAAAAACTTTTGTTATGAAGGATTTTTTACTGTCTTCCATGACTACTTTTGCTCCATTCACACCCCCATCTATATTATTTTGAAGCAAATCTCAGATATCGCATCCAGTAATTTCATCCATAGGTATTTTAGTATGTATCACTAGGGAATCTTTATTTTTTAATATCATCACAGTATCATTATTAACCTAAAAAACCAATAATTACCTATTATTATCAAATACCTTGCTACTGTACAAATTTCCAGTTCTCTCAAAAGTTTTTCCAGTCTTTTTTTAAAAATCAAGGTCCAAATGAGGTTCATGTAATTCTTGGATGAGGTCTGTTAGGTTTCATTTAAAGTATAGATCCTCCCTCCAGCTCTTTATTTTTTCCATGTAATGTATTTTGCTAAAAAACCTGAATTTCATTCCACATATTACATGGTGCAGTTTAATATGGTCCTTTGTTCTCGGTGTTTCCTGTAATTGATAGGTGGAACCAGAAGATGTTCAAATTCAGGTTTTTTTTTTTTTTTTTTCCTTTTTTTGCAAGACAACTTCACAGGTTGTGTTGTGTTCTGTGTTCTTCTATCAGGAAGCACATAATGCCTGGCTGATTATCTTTTATGATGTTAGCAGCTGTTGCTATTTAATTGCTATAATGCCTAGATCCATTTGTTCATTAGGGATTTTTAATTTATTTCTGATCTCATAAAATTCACTTGTTTTTTTACTTCTATAAGTGGTCAGAGTTGTAACTAAGATGAAGGTATAATTAAGAAAATAGTAACATCAGTTATGCCTCTATGTCCCAATCTCTAATATTGTCCTTTTTCACTTTAAAGATGTGCTCCCTGACTGCTAGGAGGGAATAAAAATAGAAATAACTTTATAATGCTATAAATGAAAGATGATTAGAATATGATTTTCCCAGATCCTTTTAATATAAATGACTCTATGGGTTTTATGACATAATAATTAAGAAATAACCTCCTACATGGCTAAATACACAAAAAGTAATTAATAAAGCTTAGCTACACCAATATCCACTAAATTTTTCATTACTTCTTGGCCTCAAATCCCAATAATTAAACTGTACTAATCTTGAGCTTCTTTTCTAGGAATAAACAATGTATTCTTTCTCTGATGCTTGCTCTTTTGTTATCCCTAATATAATACTGTTATTTTAATTAAAATGACAGTATGGTCCTATAACCACAGCTAAGTACTATGTGTTGCTTTTCCAATAATGCTGATTAACTTTTGGTGAACCAGTCATATTCTTCCACACAGTTCCTGGTCAAGGAATAACATGTTGTCATTTGACAACTGGCAAGATGAACAGTCAGCTGTGGCCACTGCACTGACTGACTCACCCAGGGATTTAAACCATGACCTTGGCCTCATTATCATGCTGTTTTAATCTACTGAGTAAAATGGCCCGAAAAATGAATTCTGGAGACAGGAGGTAAAAACTCTGGTATTGTGTCTCCAAGCCCACTGCACATCTGTGTCCTTTCCGTAATTCGATTAGCAGCTGTTTTGGATGTGGATGAGGAATTGAAGGCAGGATATTCTCCTGAAAATTAAAGCTGATCATGTCAGTCCTGTGCATAAAAAAACCCTCCACTGCCTGTCCAAGGACTATAGGGCAAGTTCAAATTCTTCATCACAGCATATAAGGTTGTAGCATAATCTTCCTACAACCTATTTCTCCGGCTTTATGTCTTGCTACAGTTCTCTGCCTCTTTCCCCGCATACTCCAGTAACAGTGATTTTTCTCATTACTTTGTGACCACTCATGTAATTGTGGAGCATATATTTATTGAGCCCCTATAACATATAAGATAGTTTGGCAGGCCGTGGGGAAACTGGAGTGGAAGGCATATTCCTTGCTCTTAAAGAATTCATGGTGTAGTTGAGGCTACAGAGAAGGAAGTAAATGCTTACAATGCCATGTGACAAGTGCTATCTGTGAGCAAGGTCTGGGCAGTGCTGAGAGAGCCCGGGCTAAAATGTTGGAAAGAGGAGAAAGGGAGGGATGAGCATATGAAGACAAAGAAGATAACTGACTGAGAAGAGGGTTATGGGAGAGGGAGTAGAAAGTCACAGAAATGAGAAACTACACATTCAGTAAAGTGCATCAAGGTTGTCATGGCTGCAGAGGGGAATATGTTGGTAGGCTGGATTGGAGAAAAGCCTAGAGGTAGGCAGGAGATGAACTGTAAAGGAACCTATATACCTTGACAAAGTTTAGATCTTACTTCTCTGTACCTGTGTTTCCCTCTTTTGAGAATGCTTTTTCCCCTTTCTCCTGCCCAACTTAAACCAATAATGATGACAAATTCTCTCTCCAGAAATTCATTCAACAGGTGTTTGTTGGAACACCTACAATGTGCTATGTACTGTCTAGGTGTTTGGGCTACATGAGTAAAAATCCTGCTCTGTGCATATGCTTATGTTCCAGTAGAGGGAAGTTGATAACTAATGATATACATTAGTATTGGGATATTAGTGAACGTGCAGTAAAAGTTGTCAGAGAACGGCCAGTGCTATGGAAAAAAGAAAAGTAGGGTACAGTAATGGAGACTGGAGCAACCAGGGAGCAGTGGGGCAGGCTGGAATATTAAACAGGATGAATAACTGAGCAAAAGTTTGAAGGAGCAGAGGAAGTCAGCAAGTGAATACTTCAGCGAAGAGTGTTCTAGGCAGAGGGAACAGCTAGAGGAAAGCCTGAAAGAAAGTAGTGGATGAGGTCAGAGAGATTATGTGGGACTTGTAGGCCAATTAAAGAGTTTAACTTTGACTTACTGAATATGGAGAGCCACCACAAGATTTTGACCAGTGGAGTGATATGATTTGATTCATGTTTTAGGAGGCTTGCTCTTCATGCTGTGTTGAGAAAAGACTGTAGAGTTGCAAGGATACAAGCAGGGAGATCTGTTAGGAGAAACTATAGAAATACCAACCACCTACATATATTCATGTACAGTAAGAAAGCTGCAATGATTTCAATGATTTCAGGGAGCCAGATAATCTTAGCAGAGTGCTGAGTCCTCAGTAGATTCTAGTGATTAGTTTATGATTTTAGTTTAGATATGCTTCATATGACTTATTTAGTAGATTACAAGTAGCTCTTACTCACATGTAAAAATTAAAGTCCACAGACTTAAAGGCTTTACAAACTTGTGTCCCTATCGGAATTGAAGAAAGGACTTGCACTTTGGAGTTAGTGTGTAGCCTGTCAAGAGGACCTTGAGAATTCAATGATGAAGACGGTCAGTTACTTCTAAAGTTAAGAACAATCAGTTTGAACTCAACCTCAAATTCATATATTTGAGGGACATGCCCAAGCAAAACATATGCCATACAGGATACAGTAAGATATGATAAGCATTTTAAGTAAATACAAAACCAGAACAAACAAAACAAAATGCCTCTAAGCTCCAGACTATAGATCAAAAGATAGAGATCTTTTGAAGGATAGAGGTATTTTGAAGGTACTTTTAGTTCTGAGCATAGCAATCTTATATTAAGTTGGGCCTATTACTTTGAAAAGTAGCCCATTAAAAATTCTATGTGATATATATATATTTTAAAGATTTTATTTATTTGACAGACACAGCAAGAGAAGGAACACAAGCAGGGGGAGTGTGAGAGGGAGAAGCAGGCTTCCCGCCGAGCAGAGGGCCCGATGTGGGGCTCAATCCCAGGACCCTGGGACCATGACCTGAGCCGAAGGCAGACGCTTAATGACTGAGCCACCCAGGCGCCCCTCTATGTGATATTTTATCCATATGATATATAGTCTGACCCATTTTTATCTTGGAAAGATACATGAATCAAGGTAGAAGATGATTTTAAGATACTTCCTGAGGATTCCCTTTAATAGGAAAATCATGTGTTGTAGTAAAGAAATGTAAAAATGAAACACAGTAAGATCACTCACTTCTGTTTCAATCCTGTAAGAAGTCAGCTGTCCCCATGATACCATCTCCTGTGCATTGTATTTCACAGTGTCTCCAGGGAGGTGAGAGGCAGTGGGGGTGCAGGGAAACACAGCCACTGGCACCCCGCATGCTGTGTTACTGGTAGAAAATAGTGCAGGGTCCAGGATGTGGCTCTACTGTAAAGGGAACACCGAAACTGTTTAATTTGGACAACCGCTTTTAAGTTTACCTTTACGTACTCAACCTAAAATAACTAAAAGAAGTGTTCTTCTTGTTCTCCGCCTCCCAGTTCCTCCTGTTTTCTATTTTGCGATGCTCACGGTGTAATTCTGAACCTTTGTTGTACATTAGTCACTTAGGGAGTGTCAAAATATACCCATGACCAGGCCAGGGTCCTAACCCCAGAGATTGATTCATTTGATCTAGGGTTGGACCCAGGTGGTATTTTTGAAAAGTGACCCAGATAATTTTAATGTGCAGCCAGGGTTGAAAACCACCATGGTTTCACACTGGAGTAAAAATATCTAGGTTCTAGTTGTAGTGCTGCCATTACTAGGTGGCTGATTTTTAAGTCTTCAATTTCCCGTAGGATGACGAGGCTGGCTTAGAGATTTATTAAGTTCTCTAACTCTCAACTAAAACAAAAATTTTTTTATTATTATGTTATGTTAATCACCATACATTACATCATTAGTTTTTGATGTAGTAAATTGGGATACATATGATCTCTTCTAGTTTGCTTAGCTCTAAAAAGATGAAAAAGGAATCATTTGGAGTATGCTCTTTTGGTTTGAAGCAAGGGAGTTAAAAAAACAAGAGCACTTAAGTAAACTTTTCCTTCTTCCCTCTTCCCAATTACAAGGCATGGGAGAAAAGAAACACAGACATTTAAGCTTAGAAGTCACAAGAGACTTCTAGGGCTGCTTTGTCTGTCCCCAGCTCTCTTAAATTGGGAGTTAGTCATATGGTACCTGGGGAACAGAGGCAGGAGGGAGAGTGCTTACTACACACCAAGAAGGTAAATATAATACAACCCCCAAAGGCCTTACACTACTCATCTGACCATAATCTGGCTTGGTACTAAACACTGCAAGTGTGGAAGGTGAGGTAGGGGTGTGCACATAATACACACACACACACACACACACACTCCCCAACTCTCTTGTGGAGAGCGCCCAGAAGAGGATGGTCACTAGTGATGCACCCCCAGTCAGGGCCATGGGGCCTCTCCTCCACCCCTCCCAGTTCGCTCCCAGTCTTGCCCCCACCCGGAGGGTTGTCCGGACTGCGCACAGCTGGGTCCAGAGAAGGCGGCGGCAGCCACTGCCATTCTCCCTCAGCTGGTTCTCTGTATCTTTCACTGAATCCATCTCTGTGCCTCTAAAAACAGACGCAGACGTTAACCTGATCCCCTTGTTTCTCTGCCTCTTCTCTCTAGACGAGGCCCCCCAGGAAGGGCCAAATAGACCGCAGCCCTTGGCCCAGGCTCAGGCTCATTCTCACCCACCGGATTATCCTAGCACCCTCACGGCTTCCCGGCTCCTCTTCATCCTCACACCTCTCCCAGACAAACCCTAACTCCCCCAATCTCATATCCCTACTTCTCTGCGCTCTCCCATGTTGTCCCCTCAGTACCTCTCCACGCATTCTTGGCCAAAAGCCCTCAGTTTTCCAGAACTTCCTCATCCTCCCCTCCCCACCCCCCACCTCCTGCACAGGGTTCCTGGTCCTCGACATCACCTGCACTCCCTACTTGCTCATAGCTCCCTCTCCCTCCTTTTAAGGAAACCTGGCGAGCCCCCTCACCCCCGGCACCCAAGGGGACCCTCCTTCCAGGACCCCACCCATGACACCTCGGGAGCCCCTCCACGCACTCACTCTTACACCTCCAAGCCCGACACCTGGACATCCTCTCCCTTATTCCGAACAGTTCCCTCCTTTCTAAAACCAGAGGTGCCCCCACTTCCCAGTCGCACCCCATCTCCTCCCCTGCCCCCAGGCTCCCACTCCTTTACCGCCCGACCCGACCCCCAGGGCGCCCCCATCTACCAAGGCTCACTGTTCGCCCCGACTCTCGACTCCTCAGGCGCCCCCTCACAGGCTCTCGTTCTCCAGCGCCCCCCGAAAACTCGCTCCCCACCCCCCCTCCCCGCCCGCCCCCAGCCCACAGGTCGCGCTCGGGAGGGGTGCTCGCCGTGCCCTGGCCTGGGCGGCCGGGAGGTGACGCGGCCCCCGCGGGAGGAGCCCGGGAGGCGGAGGGGCGGAGGAGGCGCTGGCGGCGGCACCGAGCGGCGGCGGCAGCAGCGGCAGCGGCGTAGGGAGTCGGCCCTCGGCGCCGACTCCAGGGAGCCAAGGGGCGGCGGCGGCTGAGGGTCCGCCGGCAGGCGCGTGATGAGGAAGCACCAGCGCCCGACCGTGCTACGCGTCGGAGCTCGCTCGGATCCGGGCGTTGGCAGCCGATGGGCCCCGGGAATCTCCGCCGCGAGCCCTTGTCATCCCCTCCTCGCTTTCGCTTCTCCGCTCTAGCCTGGAGCGGTCTCCGGCGGCCGTCCTCGGCCCCGCGGCCCTCTCCCGGCTGTTTCTGGAGGGGTCCTCCCTCCGCGGCGCCTGGAAGCCCAGTGACGCGTCAGTCGGCGGGACAGCTGAGCTGCTTCTCTGGGAAATTAGCCCCTGTTTCCTTACTACCCTCTCGGCTCCCGCCCCGGCGGCCCCTCCGGCTGGCAGGACGCTGCCTCCCAGCGCCTGGAGCGAGTCCCCGGGACTCCCCCAGGGGGCTACTTCGCAGCTTACCCCTTTCCCCTCCGCGGCGGCGCGCGCCCCCGCCGGACACACTCGCGCCCCGGCCGGCGCGCCGCCCTCCCGCCCGCTCCTTCCAGTCACCCCACCCTTAGCCGTCCCCGCCACCTTACTCCACCACCCTCCCCCGCCGCTCCGCGCACACCGCGTCCCGGCCCGGCCTCCCGCTCTCTCTGCCAAACCGCTCACTTGCCAGCCCTTCGCCCCCGGGAAGAAGAAACATTTCCCGGAGCGCACTCCTCAGCCCTCACTACCCCCGCGCTCGCCCTCTCGCCCGTCCCCCCGCCCCGGCTCTTTCTTTCTTGGGGGAGGGGGGCTGTCGCCTCGGATTGAAGGCCATTGATTTGTATGTATTTGTCCCAGCGCCGGAGGCTGCCCCAGCCGCCCGCGCGGGTGCCGCCGCCGCCGCCAGTGGAGTTGCCTCCCTGCTTCCCTAGGGTGGTTAAGCTCCACCAAACATGTCGGCTCCTGTCGGGCCGCGGGGCCGCCCGGCTCCCACCCCGGCGGCTTCTCAGCCGCCCCTGCAGCCCGAGATGCCCGACCTCAGCCACCTCACGGAGGAGGAGAGGAAAATCATCCTGGCCGTCATGGATCGGCAGAAGAAAGAAGAGGAGAAGGAGCAGTCGGTGCTCAAGTAAGGACCCGGCTCCATCTTCCCCCCTCCCTCCCTCCCCTCCGCCCCCACGGCGGCTGCCCTGCGGCCGCCTGCGCGCCGGGGATCGCCGCCCTCCCTCCAGCCGGCGGCGCCTGGGCCACGAGGGTTGCGGCCGGCGCCGGCCGCCGGGGCTGCTTTCTGGGTGTCAGAGTGCGGGGGTGTGTGTCGGGGAGGGAGGGCGCCGAGGCCGGTTGAGATGAGGATGGCGAGCCCTTGGACGCTGTAATTTTCCCGGGCGTCCTTCCGACTTCCCTCGCGGGCCAGTTGGGCTCCAGGGCCCCCACGGGGCTGAAGCTGAACCCAGGCTCCGCGCGTCCCCTCTCCCTTCCAGCCGCCCCGGTGCGGAGGCAGTGACTGGGGCAGTGAATCCAATATGGCCGTGCACAGGTGCTCCCCGGCCGGGACCCGGGCGAAGGCGCGCCGCCGGGGATGCGGGCGCAGCCGGAGCGCCTAGTCCGGCGTTTCCGCAGGGCGGCTCTGCCTCCAACGCGGAGACGAGCAGAGCTGCCCACGGTCGCTGCAGGCAGGAGGGCGGCGGTGCAGGCGAGGGGCCTAAGCTCTGGCATGTGTCGGGTGGGTGTGCGGCCGCCGCCATCTTCCAGCCCCTCCCCCTCGGCGGGTTCTAACACCCTGCACTCTGCTGCTCTTTCTGTTTGCAACTAGTAAATCTGTTTAATCCTGAGGAGACTCTGAAGAGGCTCCCTTTCCTACCATTACTGCAGTTTGGGATGCTTCCTACCTTGCGAAGTTCTAGTACTCGTGTTCATAGTGTAGGCAGCCAGGATTTTGACGAGGGTGGGATAGTAAAAGCAGCACCCAGGCATCGGTTTAGCGCTGTGTAACTTCAGCACCAGGGAACTGTCCAGACATATACAGCTTCGAGACTCCTTTTCTTTCAGTCTAGCAAAGAGATTTGTTTCTACAGGTTTGCTTTTAAATGTTTTATGGGCATTTGATTTCTCAGTTACTGTATGAAAGAGATTGTGCAGAAGACGCGTAACCTTTTTATGTTTTTCCAACTCAACTTTTTTCTTTTTACTTGAAATGAATTATGTACTAAGAGATTAACTTGTACAGTTTATATGTTAAAGGTGGGATGGTTCTGCGTGTTATCAAATACACTTTTCCCATATTCTCCACAGAAACACACAATTGAAAGAGTAGAGTTCCTCTATGAAGGAACTAATACATGACCTCTAATCATGTAAATTTTAAAAACAGGTTGTTCAATTCAGTATTCTTTAATACATTTATAAAGAAACAAGTTTCTGTCTATACATATATATTTTCATATTTTAATGAAAAATACTATAAATTGTGGTAACAAATGTATCAAATATCTGAGAAAAATACAATTTCTAAAAAAATATTGAAGCGCTAAGAGAGCAAATGTTCCTGACATATTAACTGGAATAAAGAAGAATTACTTTTTCAAAGCTAATTTCTGGGTTTGGAGACTTGTTTGGGAATATGATTTATTAGTAGGCTTGGGAAATGAAAAACGGTTAAGAGATTAAGTAGCTTATTTTAACTAATGGAGGAATAAAGCATTATTTTTAAAAGCTTTATGAGCATTCTACTCACTTTGCTTTAACTATATATACTGACAATACCAAGCTTTTGATAACTTAGAGTGTGATATTCAGATATATGAATCTATACTTTTTACTATAATTGCAATAAAATTAGTGGTGCCAAAATGATGTCAAATAAAATGTAGTTTTATTTCTTTGACCCACATATTTAAATGTACAATGTGTTTTTATTTCTTTGTAGTAGGCTAAATCGTAGTATTTACTGGCTAGTTCACTCTTGTGCTGATATATAGAAATGTAAACCAACTTTTGAATACTAAATTAAGAATTACTCAGAGTGACCAGTATATTACATTAGGAAAATGTTGTGAAAGGTTTTTTCACGTAGGTATATTATATACATTACATTTCTATGTAAACCTACATACTATGCAAATACATATAATGTTCATGCATTCATAATTGCATAGTTTAGGTAAAAACATTCTCTAAACATATACTCATACAGTCTATGAAATTACATTGATGAAAAATCTGTTCATATTTATTTTAAATATCTTTTTGCATTTCTACCTAATAGTCTTGGAAGGAGTCATACCTCAAAGTGGCCTATATGGTTTCAGAATTATTTTTATATTCATTTTAACAAGAAGTTTTTTGGAGGTTAAAGCATAAAACATTTAATTTTAAATGTTGTTTAAAAATGTTTTTGGCTTTTGTAATAAAGTAAGATGAGGCAAGGAAAATGAGGAAAAGAATAGACTTTATGATAGAATTATAATAAAGATAGTTTTGAAGAATTTTATAATTTATTAAGTAATATTATATTGGGTATTAAGTTATAAATACTATGTATAAGAAAAAATAATACTAGTATTCTTCAATGATTACTATTTCTCATTAAGTTTTAGGGACTGTTCATCTGGTCAAGACTATATTATCCTTTGTTTTTCTTTAGTAATGTCCATTTAATTGCATGTTAACATCTATTCTGAGAGAAGGTCATGGGCAGAGAGAAGCTGAAAATCAAATTCATGTCTGCTGCTTGTAACAACTATATTAGAAGATAAGTTTGATGTGTGAAAAACTGAAACCATTGGATGAAAATATTTTCATACTAAGTATTCATACAGAGTGGGGTGTGCATACCAAAGTACATCACAAGATGATATGTTGGGGTACAGGAAGAGAATATTAAAACTTCTATTTCTATTTGAAAAAGAAATCGTTTTACTGATATTTAATATATAGTTTGACAATATTAAGATACATATAATTTGTGAATAAATACACACGTATTAAGAAGTTCATGCCTGAGATATTTTTAATGAGAGAGGTGAGCAATCAAAGGAGATTGAGACCACTATTGAGACCATTACTATAGTAATCTCTCTCTTTGGGAAGAGATTAATTAAGAACTATTTATATTTAATTATTAGCAATTTCTTCAAAGCCTTGCTGAACATCCACATACTCAAGAAATCTTCTGTCACCATCAAGTAATTTCATTTTACATGGAATTGAGATACTAAAAGTTTGGAAGCATTTTATATCTCAGTAGATCCCTCAATAGATCAGTAATTACTTTTTTTATCCTTACATGAAAATCCTTTTATAGTTTTAGTTTTGATAACTCAATCTACTGGTAAAATCTATAATGTTCTTTTACTTATTAATATTTTTAAGTCTTGTCTTTCAAGATTGTAAGCTTCTTGAGGGCAAGAATAAAAATGTACTCTTCTTTGAAGTTTCTGTTTTGCAGCATCTTTAACACCTACACATATTAGGTACCTAATAAGTAATGTTGCTATGACTTGTGGTAATGTTAATGAGGCAGATTACAAATTTTGTTGGGAAAATGAAGAATGATTTCTTTGAAATTAAAGCATAATTTATTAAGTTTGTATTTTTCAGTGAGGTTTTGTTGTTGTTGTGGTGGTATTGTGAAAAAAATGCATGAGAAAAGCAAAACCACTGAAATCAATAGAAAAGTATTCATTCAATAAATATTTATTGAGTTTCTACTAGTGCATATTATAGTCTTTCAGATGAGAGTTTTTTTATATCAAATTAGAAATTATGTTTCTTGATGTATAAATTATCTTTTTATTCTTAGTTTGGATTTTCTGTTAATGTCAAAGAGATAATTTACTCCCCAAATAAAGGAAGACAATGAGCAAAAGTTTCATGATAGATCAGAGTGACAATTTAACTTACATTTAAAACATAGATGAGCAGTTCTAGATTTTTAAAAATAATTTAAAAGTATTTTTCAAAGTCAATTTATAAGCTTCTTTATTTAATGGATAATATATACCTATAGTACAAAATTTCTTAGCTGTGTTTTTCCCCAAGCTAGAGGCAACTACTCTTGCCAGTTTATTGTATACCATGCTAGAAATATTCTATATGTAGGAGTAGATATGTGTGTACATCACACATATGTATGTGTATGTGTGTATGTGTGTGCACACAGATATGTGGATATATATGTGTACATATAAAAACCACAAATGTGTACTGCAGTTTACTTTTTAGGAGATCAGTTCCACACCCATTAATATATAGTTTTCTCATTCATTTTAGTGGCTGCATAATATCTCATTTTGTGAATACTCTGTAATTTCTTTAACTAGAACCAGATTTTTGGATATTTAGGTTGATTCTAATTATTTTGCCATTAGAAAAGCACTGTGATAAATATCTTTGTACATATATCATTTCCTATGTGTGTGAATGTATCTTTGGAATAAATTCCTAGAAATGCATTGTTGGGTCAAAAGGTCAGTGTATTTTAAATTTTAATAAATATTGCCAAATTTACTTTCATAGAATAAGTATGCATAAGTGACATAAACTAGGGAGACTCCTACATCCTTTCCAATTCAGTGTGTGATAATCTTTGCCAATATTTTGGTGAAAAATATGCCATTGTAGATTTAATTGAAGTTTACTTATTATCAGTGAGGCTGAGAGCCTTTTACATTTGTTTAAAGTCTTATTTTTCTGTTGGTCATTTTTAGTGATTTGTAGAAGCTCTTTTTATTGTCATTTGTTTTATGACCTTTTTTTATTGGTCAGGATTTTTTTTAAAATGTGTTTGAATTTATTACTTTTTTTATGGCTTTGAGGTTTATGATGTAGTTAGAATGATCTTCTTCATTCTAATATTTAAAAAACTACCATATTGTCTTCTTAGAGCTAAATGAAATTTTAAGAACAAGGCATGTCAAATAATAGATGCAATTTAATCATGAAGACTTTTAAATAAAAATCATTATTGTACACGTAAATAGCCATGGCCATTGTCAAAAATTGAAAACCTATAGTTTCTAAGAATTTAAAATGCATTCTAAAACATTGATTGGCATTTTATGAGACAGTACGTAATAAATTATATATATTCTGTATTTTAAATTAACTAGGACAATTAAATAATATCTT